GGTAAATAACACACGTTTTTAAGAATGTACACATTTTGCGTACAAACCGTGGTCTATATTAGGATAAATGATGCGGATTCAACTTGTGAAACTTTGATTTAGAAATAAGAAAGGAATAAAAGGCTCATTATAAGAGGTGCTAAAGTACCATAATTCCCAGGAAGTAGGCGATGATTCATGTCATTTATTTTGGGGTCTAATTCTGGTTTCCTACTGCAAATACAAAGTTGCCTGAAAATCTACAGAAGAGTGGGAATGGAATATAAACATAAAAATGCTATATTAAATCCTGCTTCCTCTCACATGTCAATCAATATGCTTCATGGGTAAGTAAATGGGGAGGTGGGGATATATCCTTGAGTCTAGTAGCTATGTTGTGATTATTAATTTGGTATACGTTCTAGCTTGACTTCATCTATTTTCTCCAATGAAATTAATACATTTCTGTCTATATTTTTTCTACAAAGATTTTTCCGAAGTGTTTTTGTCAGTGTTTTCATGCTTTATGCACAAAAAAGATACGATCTGGTCCTTTTAAAAACAGTGTCAGTTATCTTATAAATTATATAGCATTTTAAGGTTCATTGAAAGCCTTAAATCAAAGCAAATCTTCTAGGCAATCATGCTAGTTTGAAATAATAAAATAAATACACGCAGCTCTAGCAATGCAAATTCTGTTTAAGTACTCTTTTTTGTTGAAGGTAGGCATGGCTTGGCTGAAAAAAAGTTTTATCTTCTAAATAAAGCCAATTTTTGTACAATTTTACTTTTGCTTATATCACATGGAAAGAGCTCTGTAGCCTATTTGCTGGATTTTCCTAATTCACTCCCCTTCCCCAATGTTTCTGTTTACTCTGTGAATATACTGACAGTTACTTCTTCCCTTTCCTCAATTAGACTACACCTGATCAGCACCAGGTGGAGTAAAAAAAGTCAACTCTGCCATAATGACTTTTTGCCTTGTGAGCACTGTACTGGTTTTGGCTCAGATAGAGTTAATCTTAGTTTGCATGGTGCTGTGTTTTGGATTTGTGAGCAAAACAGTGCTGATAACACAGGGATGTTTTAGCTCTTGCTGAACAGTGCTCCTACAACATCAAGACCTTCTCTGCTTCTTATGCTGGCCCACCAGCAAGTAGGCTGGGGGTGCACAAAAGGTGTCACAGCCAGTCCAGCTGACCCAAGACGACCAAAGGGATATTCCACACCATATGATGTCGTCCTCAGCACTAAAAGCTGGGGGAAGGATGAGGAAGGGGAAACGTTTAGAGTTTCGGCGTTTGTCTTCCTGAGTAAATGTTACACGTATTGGAGCCCTGCTTTTCTGGAAATGTCTGAGCATCTGCCTGCCATTGAGAAGTAGTGAATGAATTCCTTATTTTGCTTTGCTTGTGAGCACAGCTTTTGCTTTACCTATTAAACTATCTCAAGCCATGAATTTTCTCACTTTTACCTTCTGATGCTCTTCCCTATCCCACTAGAGGGGAGTGAGCGAGCAGCTGCATGGTGCTTACCAGCCTACCCTAACCCACAACAGTACACAAACTGAAATAACTCCATAGTTTTATATGTCCACAGAATGATATCATCTCAAAAGTATAGCTTAACCTTAATGCTTTAGCAAATGACAAAGCTTGACTGTGCCGGAGCGCTGCGTGTTTTTATTTGGGTCTTTCTGATGAGTGAATCTCTGTGAGCACTTTTCAAGCTTTGTAGGAGATTTTTTTTGAACAGCAGAATATGAACAGAGGCAATTTTCAATTCTGTGTCTTTTACCAAATACAAAGCTTTCTGAGATTTAAATGACACATTTTCAAAAAGGCCTAAGCCCAGGCTTTGAAGCTACATACATAATTTTGTAAGCACAATCATTTGCACAACAAACTATTACCAGCTATCTGAACTTGAAGACCAGTAACTGACCAGAACTCAATAGCTTTTTTAAACCAGCTGCAGGCAATTAATTTGTCATCTTTTTCTGGTGCCAGCTACTAGCTACTCATTTATACAAGTCTAATTACCTGAAGCCAATTTCTGAAAATTTAGTCCTGAAAACATAGGGTCCTGATTCTTCAAAAGAAACCAATCCAAAACTGCAACTATGTTATCAAAGCTTCACTGGGATCATGACAGAAACTATACACAATCTCCTTGGCACACAATTATTTCAAAATCATGTTTTTTTTTATTGAAGTGCTCTATCATTCCTCTCTCCCATTTTGATCATTCTGCCCATCATTTTTAGAGTAAAAGAACTATATCATAATGTAACAATTGAAAAGCAGAGGGTAAAGGGGGAAAGAAGAGTATTCTAGAATTCTGTTTGTGCAAAGAATGCTTCTGGTTTTAATTTATTTTATACTTGCTGTAAAATATAAACATATTACCTTAGTATCCATGACACTGATTTAATTCTTTTATTTTCTTTAGGATACAGAGTGGAGATATATCATTTAAAATGACTGTTTTGTATTTTTTTCTTTTGCAAACCTGCCTCTTCTTGCATCTACAGAGCATGGAGAAAAGACTAGTATACCAAAGGTAAATCCAGAGTACATATTATAACTTTTCTTGCCTTAATGGTTCACTCTATAGTACATACTACAATAAATAAAGCCAGCAGGATTATGTAAGGGCACTGAGAGATTTAACAACAGATTTCCTTGCTGCTGTTTTATTCTTAGGTTTTAAAAGTTCCAAGTACTACCACAAAAAGTCTCTCCATAAAAGATGGCATTTGAGAGTGATGCTGTTTGCATTTGTTAAAGAGTTCCAATCGACTCTGCTATGTTTTCAAGTAAAAAAAGAAATCTTTTTTTTCCTCTAACTGCTTGATGTATAACCTCCACCTGGAAGCTGTACATTAGTCTGTGTATTGCTAGTAACCTGCACAAAGAAAAAATTTCAGATTATTCACTGAAATATTTACTGACTCTGCTTTAAAAGGTGAAAGACCAAACAGAAGCTTGTTATATCGAATACAAGACGTAAACATGGTACTGAAAATACTCAGGGAGCAGACCTGATAAGTAAGTGGATGCCATTTTTGTGCTTGTCAAAGTCAAATCAAATATTAAGAATTCTCTTAATAGCTCTTATAGTGTATTAGATACTTTTAAATGTCAAGCCACTGAAACTCATAAAATACGTTTAAAAATAAGCATAATTTTATAAACTCTTAATATTGATCATAGGTGTGACATTTATTTTATTTTCGTAACTTGGACTTTAGTACCCTGAACTACCTCTTAGTCAGTTAAGACAAACTCTGACTTTACAATTAGAGTGTTGCCTGAATACGACCTGCTTGATCAGTTATTGATTTTCATGTTTTCATAGTATTGGTCTGTATTAAATGAGTTTTTCAATGCTGACATTTAAACTAACACTAGCAGAAATAAATATTTATTAGCCTCTGAACTTGACTTGTAAAAGCATTGTTAATCCTGTGTGGTAACGGTACAACAAATCGTTTTAATAGACACTGAGCCTTTCTCTTGTTTTGAGTACTGCAAAGAACCTATTAAGTAAAAATATAAAATGTAGATTAAAAGGTATGTATCAATTTTTGATGAGTCTGTTTACAACATTTCTTTGCCTTTCCGTGCCTTGCTACAATCCACTTACTCACTGAGTATCCCTTGTGGATTGAGAAAAGATCTTAGTATCATCAAATCCACAGTTTAAGATACAGTTAATATTCTGATGAGTCTTTTACTTAACCTGGACTAAAAATTCCTGCTAGTCTTTGGAGTATAATATAATCTTCCCTCCTTCCCCTAAGATACAAAGAACCTACCTTCTAATATACAGAGATATCACAGAATTTTCATTAATGAATTATAGGCATTGACAGCTACCTGGTTTTAAATTTTTTTTTTTTTTTCCAGCAAATAGTCTGAAACACTAGTTGCTTTATAGGCTAATGAATGTGTGAGTTTTCTTTTCATTCATTACTAAATTGCATCACAAGTGTACCTATTTGCCAACGCCATAGTGATTCCTGGGATAATATTTTCCCTTTCTAGTTAACTGGGAGTAAGTATTGAGATATATAACTGATTTTGAGTCAGTGGTGAAAAATAACTCCTGTGCTGTATCTTTTGCAGCATATGCCACCTCTAGGGAAGCTAATCCAGAAATATTCATCTTCAAAAGGGCTGCCTTATAGTTCAGCCTATTACGTGATTCAGTGTTCACGGGCTCTGTTACACACACAGACACCTGCTCCTGGAGCAGATCTTGTAGACCTTGGAAAGGCCACAGAGCAGGACAATAAAGATACAAAGAATTTTCCAAGAGACTTCTTTGTCCTCTGAGTGGTCCTTAAAGCGTGTGTGATATAAATTGTTCCTCATCTTTCAGACATGATCCCAGCTTGCTACTTTGTAAACTGAATGATGTCCTGCTCAATCCAGTGCTGGTCAATGTTCTATCACCACTTTCTCTCTCATTTATTGTTTTGTTGTAAGGTCCCATTTCATTTCAGTGTTTGGGAGCTATGGCCAAGATTCAACAGAGAACTTTGATCTCTAATTTCCCATTGAAACTAAGAGCCAAGAGCACTGTTTTGAGCCTAAGTCCTTTGTTGCGCCTGAGTCACAGATTCAGGCAAACTCATACATTCCATAGTATTGTAATACTCAGCCAATGCAAGTACATAACTGGTCTTTTTGTCATATTTATCAACCCAATAATTCTCAAAAGCACAATTCAACATCTAGTGACCACAAACAATGCTAGCTTCAACCAATTCATTTTCAGCGTTCCTATATGCATGTTTACAGCTTAATCCCATGAGTGCACAGGACTGTTTTTTTAAATGCCGTCATGTAAACGTGGAGGAGTTTGTAGCACGGCACTGTGAAGTGGCAATGTGTGTTTTACATGAAATCAGAGATGGCTAAAAGTTCTGAAAAGAAATTTTATGTAAAAATAAGAAGCTATTTGCAGGGAAAAGAAGAACGAATGACAGACTGTGTGGCAATGGGAGACGTTACCTTTTCATTCCTGCAGTTGTTTAGACCCATGTTATTCATGGAGGGCAATTTTCCATCAACACCATGCGGCTGCTGTTGCTGCTGCTGCTCCCTTTGGATCTGCTCTCTCATCTTTCGAGCCTCCTGGATGGCTTTCATTACTGTGTCCTGGTCCCCAAATAGGGCAGGCGAATTAAGACTGGAAAGGATATCTGTAAACAGAGAATACACTTTATTTAGGTAATTATCCAAATCAGAATCCAGGGTAAGCATTCAGCTCTCATACTGTTAGAGCTGCACCCAGCTAACATCTGTGAAAGGAGGAGGACTGGCAATTGTTGTCTGTTTGAAGGCTGAATTAACCTGTAGAAGTGGTTTATAAGTCTGTGCACTTCTTTTGCTTTTATAAATACAACCGGAGTCTTGGCATAGCCTGGTATGGAGGTATCTGAGCATATTCATGGACGCAAAGTTTAAAGTTAAATATGTGTTGCATCTTGAAGCGTAAGTGGGAAGCCTTTGAAGTATTAATTAATAAAATGAACAAATAAGGAAAAAGAAATCTTTTTTGACTGTGAAAGTCTATGTCAATTTTTAGAATTTGTTTATTGAGAGAATCATTGCTCCAGATATTTAGCTTTCAATTTCAGAAAGAGCACCCACAGTTACTTTTGGGGAAAAGAGCTTGTTATCACCTTAACATGAGTATAAAGCTCTAAATCAGAAAGAGAAAAAACAGTTTTCTTTCTATCACTCTGGACAGAAAGCGAAACTTTTAAACATGCATCAAACTCACGCAAAACATTTCTGTCACATCTTAAAATGCATGCTAGAGGTAAAGGTGAGTACCCCAGATACAGTTTCTGGTTTGAAACCAAAAGACAGCAATTAGTTGTTGACTGGTTGCTTTGTGTTTCTGTGATGAAAATTTAAGTTGATCCACCTGTTTATGCACAGGAGTATCCTCTATACCTCACATGGATAGATTTGTGTATAAAGTCTATCTAGAAAATTTTGAGCAGTCACAGTTTGTGCATGACCTGTGCATCTGCCTGACAAGCAAATGTCTTTTATAAAAGCTCTGAATTTGTTAGATTTGTGTACTTACTAACAGTCCACTATAACAAACAAACAAAAACAAACAAACAAACAAGCAAAACCCAAACCAAATAGGCTAAGACTTGGAATTCCCCTTCAAAGATAATTTTCATAGTGCTTTGACTTAACTGAAATTCAGCTGAGTAAAATGTAGTAAATTCAACCTCAAACGACCCTGAATTCTTTTAAAATAGAAAAGGTTAATCTTAAGGGTTTCTCATACTTTATCCTCAGAACCAAACGGTTGATTTAATATTGTGGTCTAGATGAGAAGAGATGCCAACTGTTACAGATGGAACTGTGATGCTTTCTGTCTGAATGAAGCACCTCCCTCCAAAATAAAAGTAACATATTAGGCAAAAAAAACTCGTTCATGTTGGGTAAAATTTCCAATGCTCTGAACTGATTCAGCAACCACGTTCCATTCTGGAGCCTAAATAAGTTGGGAACTATATTTGCATGACTTCTAATGACTTTTAATGAGACTACGACCAGGTCACAGTATCTGTGGACAAGGGAAGAGCAACTGACATCATCTTCCTGGATTTGTGCAAAGCATTTGAAACTGTCCCACACGACATCCTTATCTCTAAATTGGAGAGACATGGATTCAACAAATGGACCACTTGGTGGGTAAGGAATTGGCTGGATGGTCGCACTCAAAGAGTTACAGTCAATGGCTCAATGTCCTCAAATGGAAACAAGGGGCATTCCTCAGGGGTCGGTATTGGGACTGGCACTGTTTAAAGTCTTTGTTGGCGACATAGACAGTGGGATTGAGTGCACCCTCAGTAAGTTTGCTGATGACACCAAGCTGTGTGGTGTGGTGAACACATAGGAGGAAAGGGATGCTATCCAGAGGGACTTTGACAAGTTTGAGAGTTGGGCCCATGCAAACCTCATGAAGTTCAACAAGGCCAAGTGCAAGGTCCTGCACATGGGTTGGGGCAATCCCAAGCACAAGTACAGGCTGGACAGAGAATGTTTGAGAGCAGCCCTGAGGAGAAGGATTTGGGAGTGCTGGTGGATAAGAAGCTCAACATGAGCCGGCAATGGGCACTTGCAGCCCAGAGAGCCAACTGTATCCTGGGCTGCATCAAAAGAAGTGTGGCCAGCAGGTCGAGGGAGGTGATTCTGACCCTCTACTCTGCTCTTGTGAAACCCCATCTGGAGTACCGCGTTCAGCTCTGGGGTCCGCAACACAAGAAGGACATGGATCTGTTGGAGCAGGTCCAGAGAAGGGCCACAAAGATGATCCAAGGGCTGGAGCACCTCTCCTATGAAGACAGGCTGAGAGAGTCCTGTTGTTCAGCTTGAGGATGAGAAGGCTCTGGGGATACCTTATAGCAGTCTTCCAGTACCTAAAGGGGGCCTACAGGAAAGCTGGAGAGGGGCTTTTTACAAGGGCATGTAGG